GTTTCCTCCTGTTTACCATGAAAAGGCTGAATAAAATAGATTTTGATTTCTCTGTTTTCATAAGATATAGAATTTTTTATTTGACTATTATAATCAGGCAGAAAATTACAAGTACTGTTATTGGACTGAAAGCTCCTATTCCATCTTTTTAGATTCTACACATGTGATCCAGTGTATGCTACTAATTGCCTTTAAGAGGAAGAAATTCTAAAATCACAGATGTTGATTAATTTAAAAATAGAACATATGCATTTTTATTAAGCTGTTGAGTTATAGGGTTTGGGCGCCTCTTCCTGATTTTCTGGTGCAACCCAGCAGTAATGAGAATTGTGAGTGGAATGTCAGCATCATGCAGAGATGAAATTAGGGGACCCATTTGTCTTTTGGCTGCTTTTGCAGAGATTCTTTTACACAACATATCTATTCCTAGTTTAGTCAGACCTCTAATTTACATGGAGTTTTTTTGTGATACAAACTTCAGTTTTTCCCGGTGGGATCTCCCCATCTTATTTCTTCCGAGAGAACTAGTTAGGCAATTGGTTGTAAGAGGTACTCTGGGACATTTTGGTACAGTTAGGTAATGTGTGCACCACTGTGTGCCAGCATTTTATGAGTAGGATTGTGCTTTTCTAGAATTGCTAGATGTAGGTGTAAGTGGAGCTTGAATGTTGCATATATTTAATTCTCTTTAAAAATATGTTTCTTATATATGTTGAGTTTTCTACTATCTAAAACTGTAATCCACATCAAAGCTGGTTATCAGCTCTCCTGGGATGCTTGCATAAGAATTGAAATAGATAAAATGCATCTGCAAGTTAACATGCTATGAATTTTTCTGGTTTCTAGCTGTCCCACTTCACACTGTGGGAATAGGCCTGGCTCCCTCTAGCCTGGGAAACTTTGCATGGTGCTTTCATCTTTGTAACACTTCCTTCTCTCTCACAGCACCAGGAACAAGGCCTATTTGCACTGCAGTGAATGAGATGATTTTCCAAGGTGGGAGTGCATGTACCAGGGATTAGCTGATATTTAAATAACATGAATGAAAGCAGCAAACGCCTCACCAGGGCAAGCTGCCTGAGCCTTCGGACAGTTATTCCCTTGTAGGATTTGAAGTTTTATTGGCAGCTGATTAGGTAAACTGGAGTTGTTTGTCCCCTAGATATGTCCCTACCTGTGAGGAGAGGTGGCCAGTAAATGTCAGCTGAGGCACTGAAGGCTGCGATGCACCAGCCTGGTGCCCCATGAGGACGGCTGCATCAATAGTGCAAACACTCAGTGCATGTGAGTTTGCTTTTCAGACCTAATGATTGCTTCAAGTCAGGGATTTTAACTGTCAGAAACTTGACTTGTAAAACAGATTGGCCTCCTGAAAACTTCCCTGTTGGTCAAGAGCTTTCACTTTTAATCTGGAATACACCACTAATTCTTAAACTCCTGACCTGATCTCTTTCTGCTTTGATTTTTTTTTTTTAGCACCTAATGTAACCTATACAAAATCCAAACACTCACATAGTTTGCTATTGCCAGGCACTGTTTTATCTATTTTACATGTATTACCTAATTTAATCCTCATAACAGCTCTGAGGTAGGTTCTATTATTATGCCATTTTATAGATGAAGAGACTGAGTCACAAAGAGATGAAATAATTTGATCAGGGTCACACAAGCTAATAAGTGGTGAAGCAGGTACTTGCATCCGATCAGACTGATTCTAGAATTCCCTTCTCTTGACTGCTATACTGTACTGTCTTTGCAAAAATGTAATACATAGCTCCCTTATTTATTTGCATTTGGTTTGACTGTGTGAATACACATTATCCCTGTTATGGGAGATGCTTGAACCAATGAATATGAATACCATTTTTCTGGGCTTAGATGTGTTTTGGGGGGCTTGAAAAAAGCACCTCACCTGTGCTACTTGTGAATTACTTTCTAGAGCAGCATGAGTTCATACCGTGATACGTGTGTTCTCAGAGGCACTGCATATACTCATACAAGTGAATCATGTGCAATCCTAGAGGTACCACCTACATAGACTACCATGGTCGTAACGCCCCTGAGATTGTGCAATGTGCAGCCTATGCAACTGTATGTGCAGCCCTTCAAAAGCTGCCTGACAGCTTTATTTAGATAACGTTCAGGCACATGCAGAAGACTAACATACCTCTGATAATAGTTCATGCTTTATAAGCTTACCTCAGTGCCTCAAAGCTACCTTTCCATTAAAAGTGTGTGAATGAAAAAATAAAAATATATTATGTAGAAAATGTCTCTATATTAAAATATCCATATAAAAGCAGCAGCTGCCAGGTAAATAAAGAAGCTGTTAGGGTGGCAGCTGAACAATCAAAGTAAGTTACCTGCACTAATTTCTGATTTAGATGGACCTTAGTAGCCAGACTGTGGATGTCACACTTAACAAAATCGTCAGCTTTGTAACTTTGCAAATTAGACACTGACACAGTGGAATCAGAAAATAAAAACCAAATGGAAATATTTCAGCTGTCATTTAGCTTGAAACTGCAAAACTCACTCACACATCAGACTTTAGAGATTCACGGATGTTCGTTAGCGAAGTACCAGTTGTGGTTAAAAATCAGGCAACGCTTGGAAATTTTTATGAGACAGGGCAGAATACTTTATGGTTAAAGTGAAACAGAGCCCTCAAACTGTTTTATCAATTAAATATTCCATAGGTTATATAGCATTTATACTATTTAGTTTTAGGAAATCAGAGAGGTCCAAGATGGCTGATCACTAGTAGCTCGGGATTGTAGCTCCCAGTGAAAGCACAGAGAACGAGAGGACGCCACACTTTCAGACGAATCTTTGTTGCTCACGCACCAGGAGATTCCCAGCGGAGGAGCCCTACGGGTCACCAGCGTGACTCTTGTGGCTGGTGAGGTGGTTTTGCTGCTGCCTTGGTGCGGCGGTTCTTGGTGCAGAGTCAGAAAAGCACCATCAATCTTAACGCCGCTGTTTTGACTGGCGCAGTGGGTTGCTCAGATTTTAGCGCTGGGAATCAACAAGTTGGACGTCCACTCAGAAACCCAATTATAAAGACAGTAATTATAAAGACCACAGATGGATGAATCTATAAAGAAGGGAAGAAAACAGCCTAAAAAGACTGCGAATACCCAAACTCAGAATGCCTCTCCCTCTACAGGGGATCACAGTTCCTCGTGAGCAACGGAACAAGGCCTGATGGAGAACGAGTGTGTTCCATTAACAGAAGCAGGCTTCAAAAGGTGGATGATAAGGAACTTCTGTGAATTAAAAGAACTTGTTCTAACCCAATGCAAAGAAACTAAGAATTTTGAAAAAAGGTTTGATGAAATGTTAACAAAAATACACAATTTAGAAAGGAATATAAGTGAATTAATGGAGCTGAGAAACACAACACGAGAACTTCGCGAACTATGCACAAGTTTTAACAGCCGAATCGATCAAGCAGAAGAAAAGATATCAGAAGTCGAAGACCAACTTAATGAAATAAAACAAGATGACAAGGTTAGAGAAAAAAAGGATAAAAAGGAACGAGCAAAGTCTCTAAGAAATATGGGACTATGTGAAAAAACCTAATCTACGCTTGATAGGTGTACCTGAATGTGGTGATGAGAATCAATCCAGGCTGGAAAATACGCTTCAGGATATTATTCAGGAAAACTTTCCCAACCTAGCAAGGCAGGACAATATTCAATTCCAGGTAATACAGAGAACACCACAAAGATATCCCTCAAGAAGACCAACCTCAAGGCACATAATCGCCAGATTTACCAGGGTTGAAATGAAGGAGAAAATACTGAGGGCAGCCAGAGAAAAAGGCCAGGTTACCCATAAAGGGAAGCCCATCAGACTCACAGCAGATCTCTCAGCAGAAACCCTACAAGCCAGAAGAGAGTGGGGGCCAACATTCAACATCCTTAAAGAAAAGAACTTTCAACTCAGAATTTTACATCCAGCCAAACTAAGCTTCATAAGCGAAGGAAAAATAAAATCTTTTGTGAACAAGCAAGCACTCAGAGATTTCATCACCACCAGGCCTGCTTTACAAGAGCTTCTGAAAGAACCACTACTCATAGAAAGGCACAACCAGTATCAGCCTTTCTAAAAAATACCAAAAAGTAAAGAGCATCAACATAATCAAGAATTTATATCAACTAATAGGCAAAACAGCCAGCTAACATTAAATGGCAGTATTAAACTCACATATATTATTATTAATTCTAAATTTAAATCGACTAAATGCCCCAATCCAAAGACACAGACAGGCAAAAAAAAAAGCCAAAACCCATCGGTATGCTGCACCCAGATCCATCTCACGTGCAAGGATACACAAAGACTCAAAACAAAGGGATGGAGAAAGATTTACCAACCAAATGGAGAGCAAAAATAAATAAAAAAATAAAAAGCAGGACTTGCTTTAAAGCGACGAAGATCAAAAGAAGCAAAGAAGGATATTACATAATGATAAAAGGATCAATCCAACAAGAAGAGCTAAAGATCCTAAATATATACACACCCAATACAGGAATACCCAGATATATAAGACGTATAAAGAGACTTAGACTCCCACATAATAATAGTGGGAGACTTCAACATCAATATTAGACAGATCAATGAGACAGAAAATTAACAACGATATCCAGGATTTGAGCTCAGATCCGGAACGAGTAAACTTAATTAACATTTATAGAACTCTCCACTTTAAATACACAAAATATACACTCTTATCAGTACCACATCACATCTATTTACAGGTTTAAATGAAATATTGGTTGGCTGCTTGTTTGTTATTTTCTTCCCTCATTTTTTTTTCATGTCTCTAAGCACAATTATAGGCATACCCATTTTTAGACTGCATTCTAGCCCGGGCAATAAAGCAACACCCCCGTTCTCTCTGCCTCTTCCTCTTTCTCTTTTTTCCTCTCCTTCATTCTTTTTTTTTTTTTTTTTTTTTTTTTTTTCTTTTTTTTTTTTTTTTTTTTTTTTTTTAAAGGAAATCATGAGTTAACTGGCTAAAATAAAAAGCTCTCTTTTTAAGCAGCTTTAATTAGGTAAAAGTCAATGCTTAATAGTCTGTAAAAGCATTATTTTAAAAACTAGTGAAATGGAATTAATTGTGAGCTGACAGTCTAAGTTGGTTTGGTATAGGTCTCTGCAATTATGATGGTTATTGCCACCTTTATTAAGGGAGGCGGGGTAGCATGGGGCCTGATGTGGGGTTCAGAGCACACTTGAATTCCATTCCCTTAACTGCTCACAGCAGTGCTGTGTGCATCAACAGTCATCAGAGCTGCAGCAGGTGTCAGCAAAGCGACACATAACCACACTCTCTCTTCCTACTGTGTTGTTGCTCTTCAGTGAGGAAGTTTAGTATTAATAGTAGGATGAGGATTTAAGCATCTTGAGGGCAGGAAGTTTTGTCTGTTTCTTGACCGCTCTACCCCCAGGGCCTGGCACCCAGTGATGGTTCGTAAGTGGTCAATAAATGGATTGAACTGTTTTCTGACCTGACTGCATGCACACTCTGTGTACTCATGAGGCGTAGGTCTGTTTCTGTGAATAGCTTTGCTGTATGTGGTGTCTTTCAATGACTTGGACTTCTTTTATATTGTACTTATTTTTATTTTATATTGTTACCTTAAGGCCAGTTAGCCACCCAAGTTTCATCTAATAGGCATGCTTGGTAGTTGATTATATAAGTTAAAGTTTTATCTATTGGTTAAAATTCACAGGTCATCAGCCATCTGTGAAAACCACTGTAGTATGAACCACAGACCAAGGAGGATTTTTATCTTATGAAAAACAAAGAAATTATATTAATATCCTAATACAAGAAGGCAGACATTCCTTTAAAGAGAATGTCTTAGTTTGCTCAGGTTGCTATAACAAAATACCTTAGGCTAAGTAATTTGTAAACAACAGAAATTGATTGCTCACAGTTTTGGAGTCTTAAGGTCAAGGCCCCAGCAGAGTTGGTGTACAGTGAGGGCTCCCACCCCATAGATGGTAGCTTCACATGGCAGAAGGGACAAGGCAGCTCTCTAGGGCTCTTTTCTAAGAGCCTGATCAAAGACACTGATCTCATTCATGAGGGTGCAGCCTTTTTGACCTAATTGCCTCCCGAGGGCCCCACGTTCCAATACCATCACCTTGCTGATTAGGTGAATTTTTATTTTTTCTGCTGTGATCTTTTTGTTAACATAAGAATCATTTCAGTAACATAAAATATGATATTAATTAAGGATGGTGGTGGCCAAGTTAGCATAATTGTATTAGCTCTAATTAGCTATAATTGAATTTTTATATTTTATGCAATTAAATTGTCAAAACCAACCCTTACGATCTATATTAGTACACAACTATAGACTTTAAAAGTGTTAGTAATTCAGTCTTCAAGGACTCCTGGCTTCTCAGAAATCCTTTGTACATTGTTTTTGTCATTCTGAAGAGTGCCCATTTCACAGATGAGGAAACTAAGGCACAGAGAGGTTGTCTGGGGCCCAGGAGTTAACTATCAAATGTAACTCAAAACTCATGATTCCATGTATTGTGTCCTTTCTAGTCTATAGTACTGTGTACACCAAGAATCTTAATTAAATACAACATACCCATCCATTAGCAAACCTGAGATAACGAGAAAGCCTTAGCACCACTTACATGTACATAGGTAAATAATCTCTTCCTTGCTGGGGCAACCTTTGGAACTCCCTTAGAGCAAGTATCTAAGAAGAAAATCAACGTATCCCCCTTACCCTAGGTAAAACAGCATTTCTTAATTTTCAACTTGTGTTGTCTGCTCCTGCTCTCACTTATTTTGTAAGAAGAGTCATTGATGTCAAGTCAGGCCGCCATAATAGCCAGTTTTAATTACCACATCTCCAGTCTTACACTAGACCTTGCTATTCTCTGTGATGTTACACTTTACTGTAGTGACTGTAGCTCAGTTGAATGTGCAGTGTTTGGTGGTTTTACAAATGTTGGAGAGAATTTTTACTATAGGACAGAGGGTAATAAGGTTTTATGTGTTGGGCTGAGGAGCCTATTGTATATTTGGCAGCTTTCTAGAGCTGATGTTGACAGCCATAATGTTAACACATTTTCAAAGCAAAGAAAGTTGGATGCAAGCGTTATGAAGAGAAAATTTGGTGATGGTAGGGTGGCATTTCCAAATGATATTGAAAATAGTATTCTGGGAGTGAATTTGATTAGATAGAAAATACAAAGTCAGTAGACAGCTTTCCTATGAGAACAGTGAAGACTCATTAATTAATAAGAATGAGATATTCTGCTTTTTTTGGAAGCAGTGACATGAGCATTCTGCAGGATTTCAAATAGTTAGATAATTATTACACCTTGGTCCAGGAGTCTCAGCCTGTCTGCAGAGAAGAAGTAAATATTAAGTACCTGAAGCCTTTGCTCTGAGGTCTCTGTTGGGGCAGGATGTTTGTAGTAAGGTGTGGGACTAGGGGATGCGTTCATAAACTATAGGGATATGTGGACTATGCCTGGAAGCTGTCATTTTTGTTTCCTCCAGAAGTTCCAGAGTAGAAGGAAGCATCATAGTCTCCGCCCATCACCTCAGTGGCATCCCTGAACCACATCTGGGCTGCAGTTCCAGCAACTGACCAGACACTGTACCTCACCAAATTGTAATTCATCTTCCTTTCTCTCTCTCCCTCTCTCTCTCTGACTTATATCAATCAAGTCATGGTACTTAGTAAAGATTTGAAGAGGGAATTTCCTATTAAGTAGGAATAGTAATAGAGGAATTCTATCTGTACAGTTTATACTTGTTTTGGTAAATTACTGATCTCTTGTAAAACTTGAGAGCTTTTTTTTTCTGGGCTATTCAATGTGCATGATGAATATTGATATCTTAGTGTGCTTGGAGACCAGTTTGAGAATACTGAAAAAAAATTTCAATGTCACAGTAGAATTTAATTTAAACTTTAGCATCTTCATCTTAACTCTCTTTCAATTTCTCCAGAACAGTTGTTCGCATAAAAGCTTAATGATTCACATCTGAAGGTTATGTATGTACTGAGGAAATTCAATGTCGATTCTAAATATTTCTTAGTCATCCTTAAACCCAGCTTGAAGCTCTAGGGTGCTTCAGTGTAGTTCATTATTATAGAAGTAAATCATCAGTGAATTGTTTGGCAAACAACAGTTTGTAGTGGCTTTTCTCCAACTTAGCCTCTTTCAGAAGTGTCTGCATTTTCAGGAAGATTATCTGTTCATATTTTGAGGGTAAAAACAGCATTGAAAATACTTTCAGTGCAGATTTGGTGGGACTGTTATGGTGGTGCTGTTTTTTTATTTTAAAAAGGAATATTAATACTGATCTCACCATTATACTTCTTGGAATTCTTTACCCTGCTGACACCTGACATCCTTGCCTCTGTGGGGGAGTTCCCCATTATTTGGGTTCCTTCAGGCCCCAACCCTCCTGTCCCTTCTGCCTCCCCTCCTCCAAGGCATTGGTGTCCTTCTCTCTTGATCACCCTCCCCCTTCTTTCCCCCTGCCCTCCTTTCCTTTCCAGTTGTGATGAAAAACATCATACAAAATTTACCATCTTAATCATTTCTAAGTATATAGTTCTCAGGGATGTTTTGTTATTGTTTTATATTATGAAGTTTTCATTTTAAAATTTTCATGTGTTTATTAGCTGCATCTCTACAGCCAAGATCTAACCTACTTCAGGCTCAGGCCACATGTTACCTTCTCCCTGCATTCAATCAATGCATTCATTATGTGCCTGTTATTTCCAAGCACTGTGTTTTGCATTCCTGACTTTGTTTAGCACACAGCAGATGTTAAACATCTGATCACTGAGTTTAAGAAATTTTTCTTTAGGAATGATTTTTCAGTGGTAGAATTTGAAAACAGCTTGTGTGAGTAGTCATAGCTCATCCTTTTAAAAATAAATGCCAAATAAGAAATGGGTTATTGTGGGGAAGTCTCTCACTTAAGAAAAATCATTGTAGAGTAATACCAACTGAGATTTTCATTTCCTCTCAGCAGAACTGGTAGGATAGATACTGTGTGTGCATGTGTGTTTTCTTAAACAATAATGTTGATTATTTTCTTCTTTAATTACTCTGCCATCTCAAGAATACATTTTTGTCATTTTAGATTGCTGGCTCAGGAATGAAAGGTTGTGTGTATTTGGTTTCAGTCCTGAAAGCTCATATACTATGTTTCTGGGGAGTAAGCTTGGTTTAATATAACTTTCCATTTGGGGGATTTTAGAAGTTAGTGCATAAAATAGTGTTCCCTTTGCATGGATGGATGAAATTTTGTGGTGTTCAAGCTGTTGTATTAAAGATGTGAAAGCCTAATTGTAACAGATTAAAAACTGTCAACCATCTTTCATATTTAAGCAGGTTACAATGGATAGAAATATTCCTTGAAAACCTAGTTTTCATTTTTCTTTCTTCTTTTTTTTAATGTAGTTGCTTAGGGTCCTTAGATGCACAGCAAATGTCAGAACTGCCCTAATTAGGTCAGATGTTTCACATTAGCTTGTAACAGTTGTGGATGGATGGCTGGATGGATGCACAGTGGATGGATTGATGGAGGACAGACACTTTAATTGACCCCTTGCCACTGTCACACCACACATATATAACTCCCTGGCTATGCTGAATCTTAAAGATTGCACATACCACTAGTATTGTGCTGACTGAAATTGCTTGTTTCATTTCCTAACAGATTGTTTCTGTCTTTCTTAATAGCCTGTGAATATCTGCAGAACAAGGTCTGACTTACCTGTTTTGTTATTGCCTAGCATGGAGTAGACATAGAACAAGTGACTGTAAATTGAAATCACAGCATGATGGCTTATGAAAGCAAAATCAGATGCAGAATATTTGTATATATTTTTTCAGAAGTTTTTAGTAGTTAACGCTCACTCTTAAGTAAAGTGATGGGAAAAACATCCTCTAATATTTACTTTTTCTTGTAATAATGTATGGATGGCATATTTTTATTAGCATTCCCTGCATTATTCAGTAAGCATTTACAGAGGATCCTGTATACAGCAGATAATCAATTAATATTTTGATGAATAAAAGATGAACACTTTTCCTAATATATCTCATAGAAATGTAAATAAATTATATCGTTGATATTCCTGTCATTGATAACATTAATAAAATCTTATGGAAGGACCAATTTCTATTTTAACATTTCTGAGAAAGATGGTATATGCATGACAGTCTTTAAAATAGTCACTCTCATTAAGGATTTGTATATTCTGCTTGTTCCCAGATAACGTGGTCTTGTGGGGAGGATACAATATTCCTCAGCAACCTCTTATAATTTTCTTTCTTTTTAACAAGTCAGTTCCATCTTCACACCTGTGAGTTCAGGTGATAGTGCCATGAGATACTTTTAGGTTGTTATTTTTTGCCTGAACAGACAGAGACTAGGCTTAGAGGAAAGGATATCAGTTTTTTATTGCTGCATAACAGGTTTCCACAGACAGCACCCATTTCTTAGGTTGGAGGCTCCAAGTCTTCCGTGGCTCACCCGGGTTCTCTGTCAGGGTCTCCAGCATGAAGAGTTGGCTAGACAGCCATCTCAAGTAAGGCTGTGGGGAAGAATCTGCTCCTAAGCTTATTCAGGTTGTCAGCAGGGCTGAGACCCCTGTTCCCTGGCTGCAGGCTGAGGACTGAAGTTTCTAGAAGCTTCAAAAGCCTGTTGCATTTGTTGGCTATGGGCCTTCTCAGGAACATTGCAGCCAGCAGCAGGATCCCTCATCAAATTCCCATCAGGCTTCAAATCTCTTTGGATTCTTTTCTGTGACCAGCCAAAGGAAACTCTTTTAAAGGGCTCATGAAATTAGGCCAGGCCTGTCCAGATAATCTCCCTATTTTGAGGTCACTGTGTCACATACCTGCTAATCATGGGAGTCAAATCCATGATATTTACTATCCCAGGGATTACGCACAGGGCATACACCAGGGGGTGTGAAGTCCTGGGTCCTCTTTGAATTCTGCCTCCACGGAAAGGTCAGTTAAGATGCTTGGAAAATGCCACCAAATTTACCCCAGCGTTTATACTGCTTCTACTTTAAGATGCTGAAGACTGTGCTCTATGAGCACTCTTCTTGTTTAATCTTACTATGTTTTTATGGAAAAGGGAGGCAGCTCTGCCATTGGCATACAGAGATGTTCTTAATTTACAGTCAGTAGGGTTGAGGGTTTGATGCTTACGATTTACATCCATTGACCTGTATTCTTTCAGGCAATCACTCCCGGGCCAGTGGTGCCCAGATGAGGACTGCAGTCAGGTGAGCAGTGTCAGGCTTGCAATGAACATAGAAACCAAACTGGCCCTTGTTAAGGGCTTGACCTAAGTTAGGAACTTGACAAGCCAGGCCACAGGGAGCTGCGCTGAGTTCAAGACCAGAGGAGCGACTTGTCAAAATCACTGTTTTGGGCAGATTAACCTCAAAGCTGTGTGGATGGTAAGAGGAGAGAAGCCAGAAGCAGAAACCAGCCAGGAATTCAGAAGTGAATGCTCATTTATCAGTGATAAGGGAGATTTAGAAATGTATTGTGTTGCTTGAATTGCTACTATCAATGGTAGTAGTGCTGGGAAAATGAAAAAGACTGGGGAAATATAAGCAAGGTATAAGAGAAAATCCGGCTGCTTGTTAGGACTCGTGAGCACCTGGGTAGCCTTTGTTTACTTTTCGAAGATACCATGTGCTTGTGACTTTCAGGGTGCATTGTAAATCATTAATTTGTATATGGGACTTGCAAATATATAACATATTTGGCATTTCAAATGGTAAAAAGCACTATGGAAGAAGATAAAGCAGAAGTGGGGATAGGTGTAGATTAGTATTAAGTGCATATCCATTTGGGGCTGTTAAAAATCACCTAAAATAAGTTGTTAACCAGAGGCACATGGGTTGGAATGGATACCAAATGTGTATTTTACATGGAGTTATATTTCACATTTATGGCATTTGGCCTTGCACTCTCCCCTACCTCCTGCAAAAAGCAACATTTGTTTAAATGAGGTGGATAATGGATCTGTAACATTTATTACTGTGGTGATAGGATATTCATTGCTTCTGAATACTTCTCTCTGTTTGAGTCATTAACCTAATCACATATTCTAATTTTCTTAGAGGCAGTATTCAAAGGCAGTTTGGCTTTTACTTCCTTTTCCTTCCACTGTTTGACACAGGAATTTAAAAAAAAATAGGAATCATCTGTGAGTCTGGACAGTGGACAGGGAACACATCTGTTTCATGTAAGTATAAAATGCTGGCCTTACAAATATTCAATGTGGAGTTCTCACCACATAGTTGGCCGAAATTTTCCATGTTTGCAGTGGAACTTGAAATGAAAATAGAACTGTATAGCTTTGTTACCATGGGAAGGGATAACATTTAATTTCATCCTTGTGACTTAACAGTTTTGAAGCAATGCAACGACAGTACAAACAGATCATAGAAATCTATAACTCAGCAGTATAATTAGAAATGTTGAGATCCTGTTGTTTTTAAAGTAAAAACTTACATAGTAAATAATACACTAATTCAATGAACATTTATTGATAACTTACCTTGAACTAGGCACTGTTCTGCAGACTAGGGATATAGCAGGAAACAAAAGAGACTGAAAGTTCTGTCCTTGTGTGGCTTATATTTTAGTGAATCGAAGCAGAGAATAAGTAAGATAAATATATAACATATTTGGCATTCAAATAGTAAAACGTGCTACAGAGGAAAACAAAGCAGGGATGGAGATAGATGTATATATGTATATTGCAGGGGTGGGATAGGGTAGTGATTTTAGACAGCATGGTAGGCAGAGTTCTAAGATGGCCCTTGCAATGCGTGGTTATAAACCTGGTGTGGTGAGAGTGATAGACTCTCACTGCTGTGATTAGTTTGCATTATATAAAACTCTACCAGCTGACTGCAGTAGAGAGTCTCTTGCTGATCTTGCAGAAGTGAGCCACCATGTTTGAGAGAATCCACAGGAGACCGGTAAGACAGCTACAGACATAGATTGCAAGGGATGGTGGCTTGGGCCAGGGGTTGGCTGGCAGGTGGTGAGAAATGCTCACGTTCTGGAAAGACTGATAACTGAAACTATAATATTTAATGACAACTTGGCTGTGTGATGTGATAGAAAGAAGAACAGAAATGCTGACTCCTGAGTTTCTGGCTCACACAGCAGGAAGAAAGATGCTGCCATTAACTGGCAGAGAGGAGTGTGGTGGAGACAGGTTTAAGAGAGATCAGGAGCTCAGTTTGAGATGCTGATGACATGCAATGGAGACATGGAGTTGGCCATTGGAGACGCTAATCTGGTGTTTAGGAAAGATGGTCTGGAGAAGTGAATGAGGAAGTCATTAGCATATTTATGGTATCTATAGCCATGAGGTCCCTAAGACAGTCAGTATAGATAGGCAAGAAAAAGATTTTAGACCAGTCTTGGTACTCCAGTAAAATATTTTCAGTTATTTTATCCCAATGATTTTTACGTTTTATTATAAACTTTTGTTCAATATTTGGCTTAACTTAAAATGTTTTTCTATTCCCTTCTAGAACTCCAGCTCACTTAAAACATTTTTCTGTTTGTGTTTGGTATACTTTATTGCATTTTTAAAGGAGAGGAAAAATCTTAGACAAACTAAATTTAACGTAGGTAACTTGAGAAATGAACGATTCTCAACTTGGGAAGGCCCTGTACCAGTATGGGCTCAGAACTCCAGTGATACCGTGTGGTGGAATGTTCATGGACAGCCAAAGGAAAGTGGTGTACAGAAAACCAAAGTAAGGGGCAGAAATAGCCAGATTAGTTACAGTTCAGCATTTGCCTTACTTGAACTTGGTTTGTACAGGTGGCTGCCTATGAATCACCAAAACTCAGTGATTGACACAATAGTAAATGACAGTCTATTTACACAGCCAATTAGGTTACAGTTCACCATGAACTGAGAAACCTTTAGGCCAAACTTAAAATGTATAAGGAGGCAGCTGTAGGCTAAATTTAATTTAATAATTAGATGCTGAGGGGAATGGAGGTGGGAAGGTAGATACGAAACCACAAGATATGACATCCGATGGGAAGATTCCAGCACCAACTAGAAACAGTCTACGCCCATGGTAGCCTTCTTTCAGAGGGAAAATAGATATGTAAATCGAACATCTCCTTCTAATCCCAGCTGAGCAAAATCAAACAGACTATTTCTGTACTTCTCCCTAGTTCTCAACTTCATTATCAAAGAATTAGTGTGGTTTTTCAAAATGGGATTTACAGAAGACCCATGGCTAGCCATGTGTAATTTGCTGTATTTTTTCAGTTGTAACTGTTGCAACAAATAGATACACAGAAATAGGAAGATAAACTGTCAATGAGTGTAGACATGATTGAGACTGCAAGAACAGAGCATTTGAGAGTAGGTGAGAGGATAGTCTTGAGAGCCCTTGGGAATCTGCCTTTGCTGAACGTACAGGGGCCGGTATGTTTGCAGCTTAGAGGTTTTTAAGAGTTGATGGCGGGGGAGAACTGTGTCCCTATAAAGCAAAAGACCTCTACCTATAGATCTATTTTTTATATAAGTAATCCCTGAAGTTCATAAATTTCTTTTTTAGGCTAGTTACATATTTACTTATACATGTGAAAAATTAACAATTATTTCACAGCACTGTCTCAAGTCCTACTTTTCTTTTTTTACCTGATATTAGAGACAGCTGTACTAAATTGCTTCAGATGATAATAATTCTCCAAAGTGGTACCATTTTTTAAAAGATTCACACAGATCATGATATAATATCTTCGGGAACTGAAATAGGTATTCTTACCCTCGTTTGTTCCAAAAAAGACTGCAAGCAGCAATCTTTGAGAGTCTGAATTTTCAGTAGTTTATCTACTGTAATGAGGACATTAGCCCAGGGCAGCAGAGCTGACCTTATCACTGGGGAGAGTTAGCAGCAGGGTCAGAGAGCAGCATGGTTTCACTGTATGCACCCTGATTTTCAGTACTAAAAGTCCAGAATAGCTCTCCACTTGACCTGCCATGAGCATTTGCTCAGATCTGACCAGCAGATGTGCAGTGCTAAGGATCTTGTTTTAGCAGACTGCATTGGAATAGGTTTGAATAGATCTACTCCTCTTATACTTTGACACATCTTTTTTTGTCTTTTTTTTTTTTTTCTATTTTGGGTTATGTTCCTTTTTGGCATTTAAGTAGGTACCATTCCTGATCTACAGATTACATTTTAATTGATTTTCCTTAAGCCTTTGGAGACAAATTATTTTGTGTCATTTGAGACTTGAAGTGTTTTTCTTCAAGCTTTTCTCTGCTCCTCTTACTGTTTTGTTTGTTTTTCAAAGCATGGCATTCCCAGTGCCCTTTCGAAGTTGAGTGAATCAATTGAACTCTTAAGTGACAGAAGTGACTTTTTTCTTCTAAGGGGTACTGGGCTTATTGGGAACCAATCCTGGTCAAATGAAGCATCCTCTTGTAGGTATCTTTAGCCATCTGGAGTCACATGGGACCCACGCTACTTCTAGCTGTGATCAGCATTGACAACTGTTAATGTGCTCTGTTTAAGAAAGGATTAACACCCTCAAATCTTATGTTTCATGATGAAAATTAACAATTTGCAGAAACTGGAAACACTGACGCCTTCAAAAGTTGTACAGTTGGAGAAAAAGGGTTTCATATTTATGCCCTGAAGTTTCAGCTTCCGGTATTTATTAGAGATGAGATTCTGCATGATGTTTTAGTCTAGCCTAAATCAGGGGTTGGCAAAGTATAACATGTGTGCCAAACCCAACCCTCTGTCTGTTGTGTAAATAAGGTTTTATTGGCACACAGCCATGATCATTTGTTTATGTGTTGACTATGGCTGGTTTCACTACAGTGGTGGAGTTGAGAGGTCATGAGAGACTGTCCTCCAAGACATAAAATATTTACTGTTAGGTTCTTTATGAAAAAGTCCACTAATCCCTAGTTTAGTACATAAAACTTTTTTTTAACTAAAAACTTCCAGTCACTAAATAATTTTGGAATAAATAAATTTTAGCTTTTTTGCTTTGTCAGGATGAGTTCATCTAGAAGATAGCCAGTAGTAGTTCAAAATAAGTATCATTTAAATATTTGGCTTTCTAGTGCCATTTCAATTTCTACAGGTTTTAAAATCTATTTAACTTAGAAAGCGTAATGTAATAGTATAATAAAGGCAGACTGAGAGCACTGACATTTTATGTGAAACTGAGCATTAGGTTGCATTTTCATACAGCCTGATAACATTTAAAACTAAAATCTTCATGAAGGCATAATTCATGTATTTGCTAAGTGCTCCCCTTATAAATAACCCCAGATGACATGTGTATGGCCGAAAGTGAAGGTTGGGTTTGCTTTGACTGAAATCAAGTGAGAACTTAGTTTGTTCAGGTTCATATGCATGTGTTTCTGTGAAAATTTCGGCATTTTTTTCTGGTAGGTTACGTTATCATACTGGTGCTTAATTTGTTTGAACTGACACTCAGTTTTTTGTAGGCTTTTGGTTGTTGATACATGTTCCAGTGAGGTAATGGTGGGCCCCACTCAGCATTTTCCATCCCAACCCTGCTTTAGCTACAGGATGTAGTCATAGGGTCTGGAACCCTGCGTGCATGTTCTCTCTGTCACTTCTTGTGCTTTGGGGACTCAGGAGAGACGCAATGCTGAAAATGAGGAGGCCATATGTTTTTAGTGGAAATGGTCTGCCGTTCTTTCTGTCTAGAGTTGGCAAATGAGGGCAACACAGAAATGGTGCTAAGTGCTGCAAAATCTAATTACCACTTGATTTATTTACACCATGGCCAAGGGGCAAGTCCACTGCCACAACGGCACTCTCAGCTGGGCTCCCTGGTCATGGGCTGCCTGGAAGGCTCTGCTCCCCTTTGCTAATCCTGGACTCAGTCACCACTCTCCTTGGTGAGAGCACTGGACAGATGAGTTCTCCAGGGTGACCTGGCTGGGGCCCCTCAAGCACACACTGTGGGCACAAATCAAAAAGTACTGAGCTTGTTGGTAGAGTGCCTGAGAATGTTCAGACATGGACCTGCACACTCACATGTGCACAAACACAGGGCACGTTTAAGCAGCTGAGCACAATGTTTTTGGTAAGGCTGCCCTTCTGTATTTCCTAGACATTGAGAAATTAGAGTAGAGTTTACTTTTCCTAAAGAATATGACTTAATTTTTCTTATTTTTTATCCTGCTGTGAACCAACGTTAAGGATCCAA